GGGAATTGGATAGGAAAAGAGGAGAAATCGAGCATAGGTTCTACTAGGTATTCGGCTCAGCGGGTGTAGCTTAGTCCTTTCAGTGTGAACCAAATTAATAGTGTGAGCGGTATGTCTATCAAGAACAAATATTCAGATAGGCAGGAGCGCGCTAGAATTCGAGAAATAACAATACTACTGCACATGAAGAGAAAGAAATACTTGGCACACTACCCAGTCGAGTAGCATTGGTACTGGTACAGGTACTGGTACTAGTATAAGCAGAAGCCCAGCAACAAGGCCGTGGGGCAGCACTTTTCCAAGGCTTCCTTCTTCCTCTTCCCTCCCCTTCCACCTCAGCTGACAGCCGAACCAGGAAAAACCGGCCCGTGACATCATTGGCGATCATGGAAAATCCGATCCAGGCCAAAATCCTCGATTGAAAGTCAGGGTCTTCTCCGTGCAGCTGCGGGGCAGGAAACAACGGCCAGGCCCACCAACTCTATTTTGCCCTACTCGGTAGGTACGAATGTTTTCCTCCATTTCCCAGTTGAAACACCTCCGACAAAAGCTACCGCAACCAGAAAGCGGTAACTCAAGTATGTGAACCCAGAGGACTCAAGACATACGACCGAATCCTCTCCCAGGTAGCCCTTTAAGCATCTACGTCCCGTCTCTGCATCCACAACATCCGCAAACCTTCGTAACTACAAAGTGAGACACGATCATTGACCGAGGACGATGTGTTCTGCGAACACATCGTTTGCGCCGAGGATCTCATCTGATAGATTTTTGATCAGACCAGAGCTGCGATTTTGGTGGCATACCTCAGGCTTTTCGCGGGACTCGGTGAAACGGTGGGAAATCAAGCATTGAAAAGAACAGGGGGGTTGAATCAACCGAAAAGACTGGCAAGAGAAGAGTATATTTTATGGCAGGTTCGAGAGTCTGAATTGGGCATACTCAGATCCGAGACTCACAGCATAACCATCCCGGGGATTCAGAAAGAATATATTTAGTGGTTAGAGTTCAATTTAATCGCACAGGAAATCAATTCCGGGCATTGATCGGCACGTGGCAGGAATCTCTACACTGGAGATACCAAGGGTCTATTGACCTTGGGACCTTTTTTGTCCATCTCCCTTGTGCCGTGACGAAAATCAGGGCATTATCTGCTGCAGGGGTAATTGCTTCTTTGAGGCATGAGGCTGTCCTGTAATCTGGCGCAGGGACTTGTATTATCTGCGGCAACCAGATATACGAGGAGAACTGGGCTGAAGGCGACTTTGCCAAGCTGGGGGCTTTTCTCGAAGCTGAATCGAAGCATGCATCTGTCCGCCTCATTATTCTCGATTGGTCGTAGGTTGTTGTACTGGAAACCTGTTTATCTTCTGGCAAGGCTGTGTAACTGCGCCAAGGCGCACACAAAGGTCGGTCCTCCAGAAAAACCCCAAGGCCGGTTGGTACCACCCCTCTCGTTCTTCTTATCCTATAAGAAATGGCGGCAATGGTGGTGAGCCCTGGGTGATACCATCAATTCAATTTTCTGTACTTATGGGAATATTGGACAGTGGGCAACGGCACTTGAATCTCAACTCCAGACTCCAAAACCCATTCAACTGCTAGGATTGCCCTTGGTCCATGGCATTCACGGTTGCTGACGTGGCAGTCGATCAGTTGTTGTCTAGCAGAGAGAAGGAATAGCCACTATGCAAGTCGATTGGTCTGACATTGGGGTCTATGAGCATAGCCTCGTTAGCCACAGCTCCTTCAAAAGTGCCCGTTGGGCTACGAGGTGATAGTCTGGAACCCTTCAGCCACCGCCGCATCAAGAAGGGGGGGAATTCCTCACTTCTCACTTCTGCCTCAGTCTCATTCCACCAACTCTCTGTCCCTGCACTACTTTATTGCCCAGTTGAAATGCAAACTTCAGCGCGCCCAGTTGCCCGACTGACCAGCTTCAATACAGGCGGGTGAGGCCTCTCTGGCACTCTAATTGGGCATTGTTTGCTGCCTAAAGCCTCATCAGTTTGGCGCCCGGGACCCAAGCCCGACGTGGTGTACCCAGCCCGACTATTACGTAGCCAGGCTCTGCCCCTCCAAAGATCACCTGCCCGCGGGCCTTTCGTACTGCGAACTTCGCCCACTGGCGGGCCCTTTTGTGCTGCTCCCAGTTATACCAGCCACCACTTATACACCGGCACCACTCTTGCAATTCCCAACATTCAACAGGGCATCAAGAGAGCCTTGCAACCCGCCAAGCAGCGCAGCATCTTGCCTTTTGTTTCATCCTGCTTCAAAAGCAGCCCTGTGTCCAACTTTACCATCGCAATTTTCCAACATCCCATCTCGACCGCTACCAAATCAGCCAATTTGACGTTTGCCGCGATCGAGTTCGCCACGATCCGACCCCTTCCGTAGTTCCAGTCTTCTTCTGGGCTACATATCACTTTGTCAATTCAATTTCTCTTGGCTTCACTTCTTCTGTTACCCCACCCGCAGCGACAATGTCCTATTACGACGATGACCGGCCTCGCCGGCAAAAGAGCACCCGCGAGCGATCTCGAAGAGATGACTATGAGGACACAATCTACGATACAAGCACGAGAGACACTCGCATAGTCAAACGGCGCGATGACAGTGTTGATTCGATTGAAGAAGTGTCCCGCGACTTTGCCCCTGGTGATCGCGGCACCGTCTATCGTGAAACCACTGTGCGCAAGAGTGGCCATCGGCCCGTCCGTGCTAGATCCTCTGATGATCGCTATTACGATGATCGTTACGATGACCGCTCATATGTTTCGCGGCGCAAGTATGAGGATGACTACGTTGTCGTCGACAATCCCAAACGTAAAAGCCGTGATTATGACGACAGACGTGAGCAATGCTCCCCTTTGTATACTTGTCGCCTCCACTGACTGATTCATCGCAGGTCGCTCTCGACGCTACTCCTCCGACTACGATTCTCGCAGCCGCAGCCGCAGCCGTTCACCTCCAAAGAAAGAGCGCAGGAAGTCCACCACTGAAGAGCTGTTAGGATCCTTTGGCCTGGGTGGTATTGCCGGTACCCTGCTCGGAAAGAGTAAGAGTCGTGACAGGTCGAGATCCAGTTCGCGCGACGGCCGTCATCGAAGCCGGAGCCGAGCTGGTCGCCGTTCGTCGTCCGATCGATCGCGAGCCCAAAGCAAAAGCCGTGGCAAAGTTCGAAGCGAACAAATCTCCCAAGCCATCAAAGCTGCCGTCCTGGCTGGCGCTGGTGAGGCATTCCGTGCTCGAAAAGTTGAAGGTGGCTGGGGCGGCGAAAAAGGCAAACGGATCATCACCGCGGCCTTGGCGGCTGGAGGTGTTGATGGTTTGATTTCGGACAAGAACGACCCTCATCACCATTCAAAGCGCGACATTCTAGGCTCTGCTATTGCCGGTATGGCGACCAACCGCATCATCAACGGGCCTCGGTCGAAATCCCGCGGCAGAAACGGAAGCCCAGACAGTCGTCGCGGCCGGAGTCAGTCCCGAGGCGGGCTGGGAGACCTCGCCGCTGGCGGCGTGGTGGCAGCCACGGCAAAAAAGGTCTATGATTCAGTCCGCTCTCGATCGCGTGGACGTGCTCGTTCTCGAAGCACATCGTCGGACAGCCGTGGTAGTCGAAGCCCTCCTCGGCGCAAGCGGAGCCGAAGCGTGTCTGCCTTTGCGGCCAAGGGTCTTGCAGCCCTGGGGTTGAAAGATGCCGCGGACAAGGTCGACCCCAACCGTGAGCGTGATCGTCGCCGAAATTATGACGACTACTACGATGATGGTCGATCAAGTCGAAATGGAGGATATGGATACAGTGATTCCCGAGATGTAGGTACCATTCAACCCCACTTTGGTTCTCCTAATGGCGGTCCCCGTTCCATGAGCGTACCCAGGGGGCCGCCTCCTGGCTACGAGCTCGACTACGGCCCACGTCATACTGGTGACCCAGAAACAGACTCCGATTCTGACCTCGGCTCCAGTTCCGAAGATGAGAAAGAGATAAAGAAAGGTCGCAAGAAAATGTTTATTACCGGAGGTCTTGCGACGGTCGCGACCATCCATGCCGCGCACAGTGTCTACCAAAGCATGGAAAAACGACAGGCGAGAAGAAGGGCTGTAAAGGAGGGTGATATCACTGAAGAGCAAGCGAGGCGAGCAAAGAACAAGAACAGGTTGCAGGATGCTGCGAGTATTGGAATCGCTGCCCTTGGTCTGAAGGGGGCCTACAGTGAGTGGCAGGAGATGTCTGAGGCGCAAAAGGAGGCCAAGGAGGAGAAGGAGAAGCGTGAGCGACATAAGATGAAGCGAGAAGCAAGGAGACGAAAGATGAGCATGATTGCCGCACACAACTATGCCGACAGTGGCTTTACAGGGAGCATGCCCAGTTTTCCAACATATTCTCAGACAACATACCCTCAGATGCAGTATCCGGCGTTTCCTCCACCACCCGGGGCATCATATGATAATGGGACAGCTGTCCACTACGCCGACGACAATCCTTATGGTGCCGTCACCAACCCACCCGCCTACGTGCCAACTCCTCCTCCCTTTCCTATGGGTGTTCCCAGAGCAGATACGAGATGACAAAGATGACAAAATGTGTCTCCGTACGGAGAACGAAACATGGCACTCTCCCGTGTGTTCCCAACAACAGGCGTAGCGAGATTGATCATTCCAGACGATAAATTGGGGTCTTGGGTTCGTGGGTACCCGGCACAGACCTGGCATTCTTTGCGACATTCTTTACATTTCGGTCATTTGGCATGCGTTCTCCCTGAGATGATGACTACATATGCTCAAACCGGATCGGTTTTGGCTACGATTATTATGACCCTCGACACGATCAATGAATACGATACTATTTTTGTGAGAAGAGAATATTCTCAAAGAAATGACAAAGCTCATCGTTCCAGTTCTATCTGATCTCCATGTTTTGACGTATGTTGGTTGCTCAGGACGATACCTCATCGTGTAGTCCGTTACTCTACTCAAGCCATTCAAGGCATTCAATCGTCAGCCCTCCCATCCCCCAAGAGCGGCCAGTCTGGTCTGAACCCGACGCGTCCTCTCTCCGGAGCTCTCTCTTGTCCTCCCCATGCACCTCCCATCGGATCTCCCCTCCCCAGCCCTCCTGACATGTATGCACCGCCGTGATGAGTGTTGGATCGTCGTCGAGGCATTCCCTGGCCGCCGCGATAGTCGTGGGGATGGGCGTCGTGCCACCACGGACCACGGAATGAGGACTGCGGCATGGAGCGATGACCACCAGAACCTCGTGACGACGTGAAGCGCTGAGGAGCCGACCCGAACCAATCTTCTTCCTCGACGACCACGGCGGAGCCTGTTCGTCGCTCAGCGCGCCCACCGCGTTCAAAGAACCGCGAACCCCCCTGCCAGCCGTGATAGACGGTCTCGGCACCACCGAACATGTCATCAGCAGATCTCCAATCCGGCCGGGCGCGGAAAGCAGGCGCAGAGCCCGCATCGGTGTGCCTCCTGGTGCTCCTCCCGCCGGTGCGCAACGGGGGCGACGCGCCGTCGCGGCGGTGATGCCACCCGGAACTGCCTCCCCACCAGCGCGTGTCGTCTGACTCGAACCTATTGCGCGAGTTGTCACGCACGATCCGCAGGTTCCGCTCGTCGCGGTACCGACCCCCAGGACTCTGGCGGCGGCGCTGTTGGTCGACCAGGACGGGGCGGCCGTCGCGACGCCAGCGCTGCATGTCCCGCGACGTGATGTCCGCTGGGGTGGAGTAGCTATTTCCCATGGCTTTTCTTCGGTACCGTTCCGCTAGGTTTGAAGAAAGGGATTCTTTGTCCAGTGCTGTGTGTAATGCAAAGTGCGCTATGTTAGTCTGAGTCCCGTGCGATGTTTGTTTTGATTGCAGACCTTTTGGGGGGCCCCAGGAAATAATGCGTCTGGATGATGGATCGTGCCTCAGACTGGGAGAGAGGAAGATAGAGAGAGAGAGAGAGAGAGACTGAGGTATATGGAAATATTTGAATGGTTTGTATGCTGGTACAAGACGACAAGGCTGTGTGCCGTTGGTCCGGGCGCAAGGGTGAAAGAAATGCGCGGTGTCATGATCATTTGTGATTGCCATGAGAGTGACAGCTTGGTTGTGTCCCTGTCGTTCTTCACTCTTCAGGTGAAGTACGTTCGCTCGCTCTGTGACTTTATGAGTGAGACGGTGATGTGGAGGCAGCGAAACGTATCACTCTATCACTCCATCACTCCAAAAGAGAGAGGAAGTCGACGGCGTGTGAAACACACGTTCATCGAGTATCGCGGTGAGAGGGAACAGAACGAACAGCTTCAGTCCTCTCGCACCCAGTGGGCGCCTCGCCTCACAAGAGGCGCTCTCGAGTGTCGGACATGGACGTGCGTTCGAGGACTTGCGGCGCCATGAAGTCGTTCTGGAAGACGGCGTCCAACCTCTGCTTCCGATCGCCAGTGAAGATGCGGGTCGTCAACCAACGTCACCCTCGCTCCAAGGCAATGCGGATGGCGCGGGTCGACGTATATCTTCTCGCTGTGTCTGACTCTCCCAGGAGGCCGGTGGTGCTGGCGCTCACATCTCTGTCGTCGGTCGAATGGCCTGCGGCACGGTATCTGGCGCACGTCCTCCGTCGACTCGCTCGGCAGACCGGCGTAGAAGCGAGGGTCCCAGTTAGGGGGGAGAGGAGCATGAGGCATCGCCTGTCCCGGCCAGTTCTCTGGGTCCAGGTCATCGATCTCTGGCTCCTCATTCAGACGTCGTGGATTTTCATGTCGTCGTCGTCCTCGAAGATCGCTTTGCGGGTAGCGCCACAACGGCCTGGTAAGCGGATGATAGTGTGTTCTCATTCCCGGCAGTCGATGTTCAGAGACCGTGGGAGGAGACATTTGCCACCCCCCTGACGAATAAGGCTTTGAAGACGAGGACGTCGTGGAGTGCTGACCACGGCTTGAGGGATGGGGTTTACTTCCACAACGAGATTCTCTTGGAGAGCGACGGCGTCCTCGCTCATGGCTTGACCGCCGTCGTGCCCGCTTCTCGGGGACTCTCAGCTCGTGTTTCGCTTTGGACAGAGCGTTGCCCATATTCTTATGCCGTTCAGGCTTTGGGGAGTGCGCGCCCGGTTTGTGAGGAGGCAGATTTGATAGTGGTTGCTGCCTTCGTTGGAAGCCCTGCTCTTGTGGGACGGGGACAGCATTGTGTCGTGGAGGAGGAGCGGGTGTTACCTTTTGAAGTGACACGGTTGGACGTTGTTGTTTGGTGGACCAAGCAAGAAACACGAGGGTTTTGCTCTGAGGCCCGTTAGTAACACCGTTCTGTGACCATCACTCGGCGACAAACAAGCCCAACTGGTTAGCACAACGACAAACACCACCTCTGGCTCTCTTGGCTGGGCAGACGAGAGGCGGACTCATGATAGTTTGTACCACCATCAAACAGAACTTGAGATTCACCAGAGGGGTTCAGCAAAATAGTTCAAGCTGCTTCATAGACACCTCACCGGCGACATTGCAAGCCATAGGAGAGATTTTTCAAAACAAAGAGGAAAAGATAGGAAGAAGGCTAGGGAAAATGGAGTCTTGTCCTGGATAATGGCCTTCTGACCCGGCTAATTGCCCTCCCGCATGGATCTAAATTTCCTTCGGAGCTCCGTGTCTTTAATCTCGCCAATGTACACATTTGCGCTTCTGGCAGGCGTCGAGGCCAACGGCGGCGGCTTCAGCTCGTCTTCCGTTTGCAGCTTCGATGCGTCATGCCCAAAAAGCCAGTCCTTCCTCTTGGAGTTGGCCCAGAACATGGGATTGTCGAAATTGTCGTGCTGCATCAGCTCGTCTCGCCTGTCCTTTTCAGGCCCGTCGTAGAGGTGCCACCAGGATTGTAGGATCCGCGTGTTTTTCGCCACGTGCGTGGCCCGCGGCAACCTTTGCCTTTCGTAAGCTTTCAGCGCTTCGTGGAGATCGTCGTACTCGCGAAGAGCCGCTTGCAAGGTGGCAGCATCTTCCGTCGCTTGCGCTGCCCCTTGTGCCATGTAAGGCATCATCGGGTGGCAGGCGTCGCCGAGAATGGCGACTTTGCCGCTTGGATGCACCCATCTTTGGAGGTGGTCAAAATCGGCCAGTTTCCATTTGAGATATGACCCTGTGAGTCCGCAGAGCTTGCGCATGGGTGCACACCAGTCCGCAAAGCGTTTCACCAACTCGTTATTGTCGGCCTGGGACCGCCATTCTTCGTCGCCGATAGGTTTGCCCACGTCCGTTGCGTGGGTGATGTCGATGATGATGTTGTAAAGCTCTCCGCCCCGTAATGGATAGCCGACAGCATGTGCCTCGGGGCCCAGCCAATGCATTGCCCACGCGTTGTCGAACAAATGACGCGTTTCTGGGTCATTTCGAAGTGGTTCGGCAGGCACCAAGACTCTGTACGCGACATCGCCCGTGTCTTGGGGGTCGACAGGGGTTCCGTTGATAATATTCCTAACCGCAGACTTGATACCATCGGCACAGATGACCAGGTCTGCGGTCAACCTTTCGCCCGAGGCCAGGGTCACTGCAGGCGCGTCAAAGTCATAGTCTTGGACTCGGCTATCCATCTTCAAGGCAATATTCTTTCGCTGAGAGGCCGTGTCGACAAGGAGATTGATCAGGTCCGCTCGATGGATGAAATAGTATGGTGCTCCATACTCGGCCTGAACGTCATCGTATGAAACATCCTTGATCACCTTGCCGGTCCAGTCCAAGAAGCGAATCCCGCCAGCCTTCTCCTTTTTGATTTTGTCAAAGTCAACGCCCCAGCTCTGACTCAGACGCGATGAGTTGGGAGGAACGCGAATACCAGCACCAACCTAGTCAATACATGAGCTGCAAACCACCAAGATGAAGCGTGACCATCCATACCTCGAGGAATTCCTTGGCTGCTTCTAGCACAGTGACTTCGTGGCCGTCGGTTGCGAGAGCCAATGCCAAAGAAAGGCCGCCGATGCCCGCGCCAACAACAATAACCCGTAGATCTTTCATAATGCGGTTGGTGCTCTTTGGTTCTTTTCAACAAAGACCTGTTCAGGGTGATTCTGCAAGTGGTGGTCCTCGATGACAAGGAGCTTTGAGAGTTGACAAATGTTTCCTGTCTCTTGCTTCTGGAATCGAAGTATTTGAGAAAGGCTGTTGATGCAGGCTGATCGTACATTCTGCGGGATGACATAGCCGCGGGCAAACTCCTAGGCCAATCATGCACAGCTTGTATTCTCGCCTCGGTGTTCGTGTAGGGCATGCATATAGCTAACCCATCATGTGCCCTCCGCTTAGCAAAGACTCGAGACTGAGGCCCCTGTTTCGGCGTTATTGAGCACCGAGCAGAGTGATGTTGGAGGAGATAGAAAGTATCAATGGAGCGACGAGGAAACGCCGAACCAAACGGAAAGAATGAATTTGCCGAGAAGAGAGCTCATGCCCAGTCTCGGAACTACTGTCGATGCAGAGAGAAAACCATATAGATTGATGCCAATGCTGCTGCTGCCACTGCTGTTTGGTGTCCACCCCTCATATCGCTAGATATCGAGCGTAATGTACCGAGGAAGCTTTGACAGGTCACGATCGGAACGACGACGGAACAAATACCGTCAAATTAACGAGAGGTGAGACCAGACAATGCTGAATTCGGAGTAAACAGGGGTGGGCAAACATTGTGCGGTTCTTCCTTTATTTTCCACGCTCAAGAATCAGTTATTCACCAGGTGTAAGACATCGTGCGTCAACAGTGCGGGGTCTGGCCATGCTATTTGATATTTTGCACGAGCGACCATTACCGCCGAAGATTCTCCATTCGCTTGGCCTCGACAACAACGTCCAGTAATTCAAATATTGGAGGGGATAACAGATCGACTCGTCCAAAGTCGTGCTAGATCGAGCTGAAGTGTCTTTTTTGAGACGCGTCGCCCAACCATGCGCAAGTAGGAGTTTGGAACCGAATGTACTCGGCAATACCTATATCACCCGGGTATTGAATGGCCAGCCTCGTGCTCTGGTTGGAGAACTGAACTATCACTTACGGGGGGATGGTGGCCATATCATGTGCGTGCATCTGTTCATTAACTTGGTCAGCGCCAGAAGGCGCAGCTACTAAGTCACCGGTTGCTAGTGGCCGCTAGTCCCTCTAGTACTCACTACCTGCTGCTAGTCCCGTCTTAGTTTCACTTTATTGGAATTAGAGTAGGCCAAGACTTTAACCTTTTGCAACGTAATTGTGCGGATATCCGAACGACATCAAGTTGCCCGACCATCTCCTGACCATCCACCGAATACGAATGCCACCTCAGCTCGGAAAGCTCATCTCCAAAATCCTTTCCCATCGGTGGAATTCCGAGAACACACGCGGTCAATGGGTCCCTCTTCACTCAGCCCACCTTGTCTATTCCGCACTATATCGAAACAAGAACTCCTACCTCATTCGGAATCTAGAAGAATGTCACGTATGGCTGATGATTAAGGTAGAATGTTGATCCCCCACCGCAGCCCTCCAAGTCTCTCCTAAAATGTAATACCCTTTGTTCCCTCTGACCACGACTGCACCGTCTCTCGATGCCGGGCTCAAAGTCAGCCTTTTCTATTGCTTTCTCCCCTTGGGCTCGAGGAGAGAGATGTCGCGCCCAACCAATCACTTCAAAGCCTCGACAAGTGCTTGCGTGGCCCAGAATCACTCGAAAAGGTAGAGTGACTCAAAACAGATAGCTGCTCTCCCATTCCCTCATCTCTCTCTTTGCCTCCGTGGGACCAGCTACGGCGAAATGTCTACAGCTGCTGTGAAGCCTTGGCCAGAACCTGATGTGGCGATGATACAAGGTATGGGGACGGATTCGTTATGCCGCAGGCAGCGTCGCCAATGCAGCCTACTCGAGTGCCAAGCAAGCAAGACTTACTCTTAGAGCTTATTTCAACGAGGTATTAGACATACTCACCTGGTGGTAGCATGGCAAGATGGCTTATCTGTGAAGTGGAGAAGGGTCTCGAGCCATAATGGCACCAACACCCCTGTTCCTCTCAATTTGGCGCCATCTAGGAAGACCCTGTTGAACTGTTATATAGCCCTGTGGATTGTTCAGCACCAAAGCGCTCCCATCTAGCCGAAAATTATGATCCTCCAGGCAAAGGAATCGCAAAGCTTGACCCAGATACACATTAGGAGTCGCCCGATTGTCACCATAACGTTGTACCGCGGAGTATCCACTCGGGAAATAGGATCTTGATTGACGTTGTCCGACACGTCTGCTCGTATGGGACCCGCTGGACACGAGCCAGTTTCCCAGGCCCAGGTTACCGGCTCGAGAGATCTGATATACATGGGGTCTGAGGCCACCATGCCGTTGTCGAAGATGCAACACCACGAACAGTACAGCCGGTCAGCAACAACTACCACTCCAATGAATCTAACACGTCATTCTGGCAACCAGGTCTCTCGACACAATTTGTTCTCGCCGGCCCAAGTGATGGAAGGATTCTCTCAGCTCTCGGTTGGAGATGGAAATCCGCACCCCACACTAATCGACCGGCATGCATCTCAATCGTCGATTTCGAGTGTGCCTTCTTTGGATTCCGAGTATATTGCAGACACAAATTGGCAACCCTCTGTCAGCAGTCTATATATACCTTCTCTCCAGGATTCAACCTGGTGGTTAGAACCTTTTGAAGAGGTCCAGGGTCCTCCACTCGACGCAGACCCGTCTATTTTTTCTGGGGATTTGTCGCAACTTGCATCTCCCGTGGACGCTCTGGACGGCAGCACGCTCCCCCAGGGACAAGTCGACACGAAACTCGACCGCAAGAAGGAACGGCGGAGAGAGCAGAATCGCCAGGCGTGAGTTTATTTCTTAACACTCACCACTCCTCCTTCTGCCAAATCTCCAACCTCTGACAAGGAAAAACGCTGACGAGGCTGAGCGAAACCCAGACAGCGCCGCCACCGCGAACGAAGACAATTGAATTTCTGCCTCACGCAGGGCAAGGTCGCCGAGCTGCAGACGGCTCTCGCCGCGGCGCTCGAGCAACAGAAACTCGTCAAGCAGGAAAACAGCCACCTGCGGGGTCGGCTAGCGTCCCTCGAGGCCGAAGTCGACTGCCTCCGGCGGAGTATGTCGCCGGCGACGTTTGAGAACGGCAAACGTCTCGAGACGCCCTCGGAGTTCGAACTGGGCACGTGAGCCAACAATGGGGAGCCGAGGATCCAAATTAAAATTCCTCATTTGAGAATTCTCAGGGGGGGTTGGTTCCTTACTTGATATCCCCACCATATATGACGCTTGACGACGTGAAAAGGACGGATGGGATCGGCGATTTTTTCGAAGTCGCCCTGCACCACATTACTTGTGGAAATAGAACACTAGGGGGGAAATGCGCATTGTTGTATTAGACGGACGGACGGGGAGTTCAGCTCCAAAAAGAGTAAAAGCGAAAGTTTTGGGAGGATTGGAGTATCGTTCTTTTAAGAGGACTCGAGCTGTATGTGTGTGTGAGAAAGCGACAGAAGAAGGGGAACAGGAAACCTTTCTACTTTATGTACTCTGTATATACAAGTACGTGAGTCAAAGCACACAAGCGCACACACACACACACACACACACACACACACACACACACACACACACACACACACACACACACACACACACACACAGGGTCATAGTTGGTATAGAAAACGGGGTTAGGCCAAGGACAAGGACGATAAAGTCTGCCGAGTAACCTCATTTCATACCTCATATCTCGTACCCTACGTAGAAACTGTCCCACCGCCCTCTCCCCTTTGTGAGTCCCCGTGGATGATATCGAGAAAGCCGCCCCCCCTCCCCCCCTCCCCCTTCCCTTCGTTCCCCTTTTTCGCCTGCCCCTGTCAAACATACTCGGTACGATTCCTCCTTCGTCGCTCCTCCCCCATTCTACCGAGGTACAGACACCACTACTCCTTCCCTCCCTTCTTGATCAAAACGCCCGTGACGTGCGCCACCGGGGTATACTCGTCGGCGGAGGACAGGTTGACCTGGGCCCAGCCGCCGTCGCGGGCCTGGGCGACTTTCAGGAGGGTGTCGACGGTGTCACGGGTCAAGCAGCAGCCGCCCATCAGCTGTTTCCAGCCCATGAGCATGTAGAGGTGCTGGGCGAGGCGGGCGGGCCAGTGGTGCGTGTTGAGGACGTGCTCGCAGAGGACGAAGCGGCCGCCGGGCTTGAGCAGAGCGTACAGGTCGGCGACGGTGGCGGCCTGGTCGGGCACGCCGCACAGGACGCGCACGCAGACGACCTCGTCAAAGAGCTGCAGGTCCGCCGGCGAAGTCCTGGCCGACTCGGACGACACCAGCCCGGCCTTGATCAGCTGTGGGAGGATGGCGTCGAGGTCCGCCGTCGCGGCCAGGACGTGGTACTTCCCCGCCAGGCCGGCCTGGGCCGCCTTCTCCCGCAGCTGCGCGTGCATGCTGACGCCCGGCTCGACACCGTAAATGGCCGTGATGTTCTCCGGGTGCGTGAAGCGCTTGACCTGCTCGCCCGACCCCGGCCCGACGTCGAGGACCACCCCGCGGCACTGCGCCAGCAAGGGCGGGAGCTCCTCGGGGATCTGCTCGGCGTACATGGGCCCGTATTTGAGCCAGAGCCGCGCAAAGGCCTTTTCCTTGAAGGCGTGGAAGTCGCTGAGCGGGAGGAGCGGGTTGTTTAGGAGGGTGAGGCCGAAATCTGGGCGGGGAAGAATAGTCAGTAGAACAATGGGAAAATCGATCTTTGAGAGCACAGTCTAGTCATTTCATATCGCGCCTGTTCGCGCCCCGTATCCCGGCCTAGCTGTGGGGTTTATCCTTCCCCAGACCCATGATGTATATGCGCCGGACACAAACAACTTTCCCAGATAGGAGAGGTGAAGCGGATGCGAAAAGAAACGACCGGGGACAGAGACGAGGACAGTAACTCACAGCAAACGCTGACGCCCATGAAGATGGGCGGGAAGACCAGGTCCTGGATATACTGAAGCAGCGCCGGTGCCATCGCTGCTGAGATCCTTTTGTCCTCGGTTAATCTTGCGTAGGTGGTATGTGGATTTGTTATTTTGCGTCGTATTAGCTCCCTCTCTCTCTCTTCCTCTTTCGCGTGTCTGTCTTGGGTTCTTCAGAATTCCACCCTCTAGATCCCAGCAGTCCGCCGATCCTGCGACAAAATGAACCCTTGCGTTGCGGTTTCTGGGTAGTCGTGGTCAGAATAGATTGGATCGGACAAGATCAGATCAGACCTGGTTGGCGTAGGTGGGGAAGTGAAAGCAGGGGAGTGTTTTGAGAGAGGAGAGGTTGGTGTGTCTGGGCAAGGTCTTTCTCTTCTAATTCCAATTTCAATTCCACGCTCTTGAATAATTAATACCGAAGACTATATGTATGCTCGGTTAAGACGATTGGGCGTTGTTGGAGCAGGCCATGTGGCTGGTAGTTTACCGAAGCACGGTGGGCAAGATTGACTCGAACCCCGCGCGTCGTGGAGTCATGGAGTCGTGGAGTTCTGGAGTTCTGGGAACGAGGCATATGCTTGGAACTGTGTTTTTGGTTCTAACACTGGGTTGGTCCCTTGATGCTGAACTATCCATCCATAGCCTCGGGTCACTCCACTCCACCAAGATACCGAGCACAGGATGTAAGTAACACCATCAACAGGGTCAAAATATATCTGTACCAATCTATTACCATCACGCCAGTCGAATACCTTTTGTCCTGAAATCCATGACTCTACCATATCACATCCGAATCACCAACACATCGCAAACATGTAGCACATCCCACTAGACCATAGTAAACCCAGAGTAAGTAATCCTCTCCCCAATCCTGCGCCAGAGCAATCCACCACCACAAAATCCCCTACATGTACACGACTCCTCATACCTCTTGCTTCTCGGTGTCGTCGTCTTTCTTCCTCCAGTGCTTCAGCGGCAGCCGACTGTTCAACTTCTCCTTTTTCCTCTCGGCTTTGGTCAACTCCTTCTCGTACTGTTCAACACAGGGAGCATAGAACAAGGTGCCCGTGACTGCCCCCTTCAAGGTGCCCAGGGTGACAACCAACCAAAGCAAGACAACCGCGACAGAAAAGATGGTGCCGAGCACTTTGAAGAACTTGCTGGGAATCTCTTTTGCCAGGGTCGTGGTCGAGACGGCAAAAACACCCAGCGGGAAAGTGAACCCCCACCATCCCATATTGAAAGGGAATCTGCTCCGCGTGATGCTGGCTATCGCGAAGAAGAGCCACACGAGCCCATAACCCCAGATCGCAAGGGCGATGACAATAGAGAAGCTGTAGATGACTTTGCCCGCATCCGGACCGAAATTGTCCGTCTGCGGGAAAACCTTTGCGCAGACTTTTCCCAGTTGCATGAGCCCGAAGCTGCCCTGCCCCAGAGGACCCAACGGCAAAAACACCGAGACAATGACCTCGCGCGGCGGCAGTCGGTGGATCGTCAGGCGATGGAAATACATGACGAGGACGACCATGGCGAGCGGAAAGCCCGTACCCCAAAGCACATAGGATACCACCACCGTCCAAACCGCATGCTGAGGGTTGGGGAGGTATTCGGCCACAATGCCACCCGACGCGGCCGCGACAATCGTTGCCACAATCGGCAAAAGCCAGACCGCAGTCATCTTGGACAGCTCACTCTGATGGATGTGCATGATGACGAAGGGCAGCCACATGCAAGTGATGACGGCAATGGCCACGTCAATCCACCACAATGTCCAGGCTAGAGTGGTAGCCCATACTCCCCAGTGTTCGACACACACAAAGACCACCATATTGACAATCGTCGCGAGACCCATGGGGAATGTGCCGACAAAGAGGGACTGGACCGGGTGCCGGATCATGGCCATGAACAGGCCAGGGAACATGGTGTATCGCAGGATGGAGATCAGCAGGAAGAAGCAGAAGAGGCCGATGTTGAGGCAGAAGATAATAACAGAGAGCCAGTACAGCCAGTCACCATTGTAAGGGAGTTGGTGCAGGAGGATAGACGCAATGCCTGTCCCCATGGTGGCTGCAAACCACGATGGTGTGAAGTTGAGCACCACTCTCCTCCACCCACGCTGGTTTTTCTCTGCAAACTTCTCGAGCAGTTCGTCCTTGGCTGTCTGGTGTTCGCCATTCTGGCACTCGTGAGGGAACTCTTGTGACGCATCCCTCGCGACCTGGCAGTTGGCGTACGTACCAGCGGGATCCATGTTTGTGACTTATGGGAGTGAACGCTTGAGAGGGTCGACTTGTTGGCGGCCCAGAGAGGTATATGAGGTCGGAATAGCCCTGCGTAGGGAGTGACAGCGGAGGCCCAAACTCGGCAAAAGGTTCGTGTCAATGCTCGGTGACGTAGATACGAGAGATGAGTAAGGATGGGCAGTATTCAGGTGGTTGGACATGTGAATGGACGATAGGCGAAGAGCATGGTATTTGAGGTTTCCCCCCCCGGCCAAAGGGCAAGTCTGTGGACAAATGAAAAGCATTGTACACGTTGGCTGGCTAGAATAGTTCTGCCGCTCTCCCGGTCTCTCGAGTGGAAACTGGTCAGGGCTGAACCCGTATTTTGCCGGCACGTGACCGACTGCCGATCCACGCTCAAAGCTGGTTCTATCATCCTTTTCGCTGACAATAACACTTGCGTGGCTGTGGTTGTACCTTTCCCCTTCTTTTCCGAGCAGTGGAGTATCATCAACCGAGTAAGATCGGTGATCTAAGGCAGGTGGATAGATGGAAGTGGAATCTTGGCTCCTGCGCGATGCATTGGAGGATCGACAAGGCTGTACGAGGCTGAGCGCCAGTGCCCCGCAGTCCGCACTTCCGCGTTGGTGAAGGGAAAAGGGGGGGCCACGATCAGCAAACACCGTCTCTTCAAGATCACTCTCATCTCCTCAGCCATGTCAAGCAGCGGTCGCCTCAACAAATACCCATTACTGCATCTACTTTCCTTTTGCCACGGTCTTATGCCCACGCTTTCGGTCGAGAAATGTTTGCCATAGAGAGACTGCAGAATCGGAAGTAGACGAAACTCCGCAGCACCCACTTACCCCTGAAGCCTCCGTGGCCTTGCATACCATCCATTGTCTCGTATGCTCTGTCGTCATGTCCAAGTTGCCTCGATTCCACGACGTCGCTCGAAAAGTATCGACCCTAGTGACGCGGCCCCGGGCAGGCTACGCCACGCCGGGAGACGGTGCGAGACTATTATTGCGTGATCGAAATAGGTCCATCAGCGGAACCAATCGGGTACCACATCCGAACAGACCCAGGTCTCTTGTGCCTTTGACTGCGTGGGCGTTCGTTGGCTGTACCGTCCTCGCAGCCTCCGTCATTGCATGGTCGCCAGTAGCATATGCTGAAGCGCCGCCTACACAGGCCAAGAGGTGGATTCGTCTGGAGGAGGTTAAACAACATGACCGGGACTCGGAGCGGAAATGGGTCATAAAAGGCACGCGGGTGTTTGACATTACAGATTGGATAGCAGCGCATCCTGGTGGTCCCGTCATTCTGCATGCGGCTGGCCGCTCAATCGATCCGTATTGGAACATTTTCACCATCCATCAAAAGCAAGACGTGTATGATGTGCTCGAAGAATACTTCATTGGCGAGATTGATCCCCGGGACCTCGTCGATGGTAAAGTCGCCGAAGATCATGTTGAAGATCCCTTTGTGAATGATCCCGTTCGAAATCCCCAGCTGCTCCAACACACCCAGAAGCCCTGCAACGCCGAGACACCAAAACCCTCTCTCGAATCGTACCTGACCCCGAATGACACCTACGTGCGCAACCATTTGTGGGTTCCAAAGTTGAACGAAAAGACCCACACCTTAACTGTGGAGCTACTAGACGGAACTGAAAAGCAATACACCCTCCACGATCTCAAAACCAAGTTTCAACCATTCACCATCACCGCGACCCTGCAATGTTCTGGGAACCGCCGGAAACACATGACCGCCGGAGCAAGACCGGCGATTGGCCTCCAGTGGGACGTTGGTGCCATTTCAAATGCTCAGTGGACCGGTGTTCGCTTGAGGGACATTCTCCGCGACGCAGGATTTCCTGTCGATGATTGCGATGCGGAGGAAGCTAGGCACGTCCAATTTGTCGCCGCCGAGGCATACGGTGCTTCGGTTCCCATAGAAAAGGCCCTCGATCCAAGAGGGGATGTCATGCTCGCATATGAGATGAATGGCAAACCCTTGCCACCAGATCATGGCTATCCCTTGCGAGTACTAGTGCCAGGTAACACGGCTGCGAGAAGTGTCAAATGGATTGAGAAGATCGTCCTTGCCGAAGAGGAGAGTCATTCACAGTGGCAGCGGCGGGATTATAAATGCTTCGGCCCCAATCAGACTGCGAAAGATGTGGACTGGTCGACTGCACCCGCTATTCAGGAGACGCCTGTGCAAAGCGCCATCACGTCGGTAATGGATATATCCTGGAGCTCTCGCCATGGTCGACGTTCATTGCAGAAACACGGTCTGGATGAGGATGCTGTCCAACTTAAAGGATATGCATATAGCGGAGGAGGCAAGAAGATTATCCGAGTCGACGTCAGCGCCGACGGCGGGAAAACCTGGCAACAAGCGCTCCTCCTTCCGGATGAGTCGAAAGGCCACAAAGCATGGTCGTGGAAACAGTGGGAGTCCGTGATGCCAAAGCGCCTCGTTGGACAGCAATTCGTCGTCAAAGCCGTCGACGAGAGCTATAATTCTCAAATAGAATCGTACGAGGCTCAGTTCAACTTTCGTGGCAATCTCACCACCGCTTGGCATAAGATTGACTACCCTCGTGCCGGTGATGGCCCCTCGAAATGATGTCGAGGCCGAAAGAGGCGCTCGGGCATAGGCTTCTGAACACCATGCGACTCAATCAGGCATCGGCGAGTGTGACTGTGTTTGAAGGATGATTTCCACCAACTTCAGCGCTTTCTCTTCCTCAGTCCTACGAGTCATCAGTTGAAGACCAATAGGAGCTCCGTGGAACGCAAAGCTGTCATCTGACACAGAAATTAGCCAGCAACTATGAACCTCAGATGGAAGGAGACTTGCAGGAATCATTCACAGATTCGTCCTCTCTACTGAGGGGGACAAAGATATCGGGCTTGAGGTCCAGATATCTATCGACGAATCCGGCTGGGAACGAGACTGCGGCAAAGTCGAGTAAGTTTACTATGGCACTGTATCCTGTTGTTGTAATTAGCGTTTTTCATACTGTTATGTTCTCGTTGCTCACCGTAATACGTCAATTTGTTCTTGCAGCAAGCGGCGTCCGCACAGACGGGCATGATCACTCCGTCCACTGGGAGTTTGGTGATAGTACTTTGGCTGGTGGATTTCCAATACCTCTGATACTCTGTTTGATACATTTCTAGCGATTTCATAAGGGCCAGATACTCGGAAAGGGACAACGATTGAGTGGGTTGGTGGAAATACCAATCCCTCAGAGTAGGGACGGGCGGTTCTCCGCTTGATTTGATATGTTGCCTCGTGGCCTGCGCACCGTCAGCGCCAATTATCTTAAAGTACGTCTCGACCAGAGCCGCATGAGATGGAGGCTGCCATTCAATGACCTGGTAGTTGGCTCGCCTCAAGCCCTGGATAATTGATCGTAGAGCCCGCCTCACGGGGGGTTGAGGCTGGATATGGCCGTCGCACTCTAGCACGGCAAAAGTTGGGCGCCTCAACGTCAACTCTCTGACTTTTGCTTCTCTCCACGGCATGTCGATCCAGGCAGGGTCTTCTTCAAATGCAGTAGACCCAAGCGACAGCCTTGCGATGTATTGCAGTAAGCTGAAACTCCAGGACATCATGGCAATTGTCGAGTTTCTGGAAGGGAGACTCGTCTCGCTGGAAGCGACTCCAAGGGATGGAAGGCGACCAGAAGAAACTTTGAGGCTGAACAGATTGCTGAAAGCAGCGGGGATACGAGCTGAGCCCGCAAATTCAGTGGCCCAGCCGATTGGAGAGCCTTTCAATGCCAATAATGCCCCTTCACCTACAAGCAGTCAGAGTACAGGTCTCGGCCCATGTTCAAATTCATTACCCATACCTCCTGCAGCGCCACCGCTGGATAAAAGTCTTGAATAAGGGTTAATGGTACGGCCGTGTATATTATTTGCTGTTTCTGCTAACATCATGCTTTGAGGCACATTCGTCTTACAGAAGGGGATTGCACCCAGCGCCCGCATATGTCGGACAATCAGAGATTCGGTGGCGTCCGTTTCCTTAGGCCCGAGCCAGGAGATAAAGCCGGCGGCTGTCTCTGTACCCGCGACACGAAAGCGGTCCATGAAGCTGACTGGTAAGCCATGCAGTGGGCCCCTCAGACCGCCTGTGTCACGATGATACTTGTCCAGCTGGCGCGCACTGTTGATGGCCTCTTCGAATAGCACTTCCGTCAGGCAGTTCACAAATTGATGACAAAGCGCAGCCCTGTGACAGTAAGCACGGACAACATCCTCGCAGCTCCAGATGCCGGCGTGGATGTGGGCTAAAGTGTCCATTGGGGGGGTTTCGGTGAAAGTGATTTCATCAGGCGATAGATACTTCGCTGGTAGGTCAAGGACAGATGAGCTATCGTCTCCTAAGGGTATTTGATCAGGGGGAACGAGCCATGCAGAGGGGATTGCTTTCAGCACGGTCGCTCTTTTGGCGGCAGCCCGATTCTCCCACGCAATATGTGGCATTGGGAGGACGTATGAGGTCGTGCGATTGAATAACTGTAATCGGAAATGTAAGTCATTGGGAGTTGTACCTATCACCGAGGACCAATCGAAGATGATGGAAGCATAGAATGGACCTCTACTGTGCTCGCTCGGATAAGAGATACCGACTGCAGGGTCTGGCAGCTGGAGAGCCGCGGAGGGGCAGTAAGTTGGACTGAGAACCGCATGAAAGGAAAACTGGCTGAATGTGTCAGATGGTTTGAAAGGACCCTATAACTGATGTCATCTCAACGGCCATTGCAGCTTGATTCCACGTCCCAATGGGAATTGAACTTTTTCAAGAATAGACTGCTGTCTCTCTGTACCTTGTCCCTATTCCTGGGCCGGACGTGGATGGAGCAGCCACGATGCCTGAAGTTGCTGAGCCGCGGGATTTTATTTTTCCGGAGGGGCTGTGATTGGCCCAGACGACGTCATTTCCTTCCAGGAACCGAATGGCAAGTCACGCTACGCTAATCGGTGAGTCGGGCTTCAACCGACTTCCGAACATCAGCCAACGTTGTCCGGAAGGGGACCACGGTTGCCACGGTCCATGATCTGTTGCTCTGGAGCGAGATATATCTCACCGAGACTTGCCGGCACGCAGAAGGGACTGACGAGTCTCCCAGTACTCAAACTTGACTGCCCACCCCCGAGACTAGAGAGTGGCATTATCAAAAGCCTCTGCCATGTTCTTCATCGTTCCTGAGAGAAAGAGTTCAAACCAACCTGCTAGTCCAAACTCGGACGACCCCTCGGCATCACCGCCACAGAGAAAGCGCCAGCGTTTGTCTCCCGAGGCAGAAGAGACATCCGGCTACTACCCTAAGCGAACACCAAAGGCCTGTGACCGATGTCGTCTAAAAAAGGCACGTTGCCAATGGAGTGCCGGGAAGATATGTGACAAATGCAAACGAGACGGCGTCATTTGCACAACAAACCGAGAATCGAAAAGAGAACCCAAGCCACCGAACGCCGCGTACGTCCAGCTTGTCAAATCCCAGAGAGATTGCCTTCTCCGCGCGATCACAAAGATAGTTGAAGGAGGACTGTCCAATGATCCTGCCGCGATGGCCAATATGTTGCAGGAGTTGGGCATTCGGGTCCAAGATCTCAAGAGAGCGCCTCGAGAGGGTGTAATGGATGAGCCTTCTGTGAACTTGGACGACACCAATATATACGAAAACGCGGCTGAGATTCAAGCACTCCTAGAGGAATGGACCCCAGAAAATACAGGTATCGGAGAGCACCACCGTTTGTCGACACTGGTATCCCGCAATCTTGGAACGTCTCAGTCTTATTTCGACTCACAGACGCACACCGATACCCCGTCAGTCATGTCACAGACGTTATCGAAAGCATCGGCGGACGCGACTTCAACACTGGACACGACGTTTTTGCCGTTAATTGGAGCGGACGATTGGTTTGTGTTCGACGACTGCGCTGATAATTGGCCGCTGCCTTTCACAGAATCGTGCATGGACGGGGCTAGGAGCACAGTCGGAGCAGGATGAAACTGGCCGAGCCAAGTCGACAAAGATCGCTCCACGGGCGGTGAAAATGGGCAGCATCTTCCGCGATGTGAGAATCGAGCATTGACGGAGAAGTTGCCGGGACATACAATGGGTTAGGACGAACCAGATACAGCGAGCCAACATTCCGAAGTCAGGAACAAACTGCTCATCAGTTGGGACCGCCTGTAGCCTGATGAGAACTGGGCCATTGTCTACCAATCCATGTGAGACGTCGCATAATCGGCGAATACCAACAGTAATTCCGGAATATGTTTGTCGCGCCAACATGCCCATGAATACAAACCCATGTGCCGGCTCAGTTAACATGTTATTGGGATGGCGGAATGACTACCACCGGCTAAGGCTTCACGCTGCAAATAAACCGAGCCCTCGATCCTAAGGATATTCAAACCTGGTCTTGAAATGGTCAATGACTTTTGGTCCTGGCGCAGGTACCTTGTAGTATGGATACATTGGATACAACATTATCTACCGTGGGTTTGAGGATGACGAGCTACAACAAGAGACAGCCTTTACGGCGGAAAGGATCTGGCACGCAAGTTTGCCCCTGTACGACGAGACACCGAATCTTGCGCAGGACGATGTTCTTCTGCCCAAGATGGTAGATAGATCGCCAGACCACCAAGAGCGCATCTCAAAGGCTTACGTGAAGAAGAGGAGGCGGGGATTCGTGGAGGCAAGACTCGAGACCCTTTTTCTTCGGTGCTTATATCATTGTACACTTTGTGTCTTTTGAGACATGGGAACGACTTGCAGAGTATTCGTTTTCTTGTAATGTATGGAATATGACTGTGTTTGAAGCAGTAGTCCTCGGAAAGGAATATGCTTGCTTGCCTCGGAGGTGACCATTCTATGTAATCAGACCACGACGCTTTGGAAGGCAGTAGGCAGTAGGGCAGTAATACTCTGTCTCTCGCCTATCCACATACTGTTAGATATGTCGCATCTGTGTCGTCAGCGGGTGTGGTTATGTCTAAGATGTATTTATCTACCAGAAAAGATCTCCACGCCCCGCCTCAGAAATAGGCGGGCCCATAGCGCGCGCATTCTGCACTAGACCGTGTTTGTCAAAATACATCCATGCATGCAACCAGGACATGAATTTCATCGCTTGAACGCAAACAATTGTTAGTTTTTACTCGGCACGAGGGACATGTTTTCTCCTCCTGTAGAGACAGAGGGAGATGAGTCCGCATATCGATGATGCTAACACCTACAATGTGACCAAGCTGTTTAGCCATTCCTGCACTTTGCATTGTCAATCGTTCCTCAAGGACCGCTTTGGTCTCTTCTTTAGCTCTCGCTCTCACCCTCTCTGTGCGCCCCTCCAAAAGCTTTCCTGCACAGCACACAACAAACCAAAATGTCCCCCTCAACAGCAGCAGCGGCGGCAGCAGCAGCAGCGACCGCACCACCTCTAACTTTTTCCCTAGCGAATGAACTCAAGGCTCTCCGACACGAAAAGCGGAATCAAAACCTGTCGCGTCTGCCCGCGAACGCCACCATCCAGCGACGGCCCCTGAACCACGCGCCCGTCGCGGACCTGCGCTCCTCGGGGACCAAGACGCCGAAGGTG